CTATTCTATTCTATTCTATTCTATTCTATTCTATTCTATTCTATTCTATTCTACTCTATTCTATTCCCTTATCCCTTATCCCTTATCCCTTATCCCTTATCCCTTATCCCTTATTCTGTTCTATTATTCTATTCTTATTCTCTATTCTATTATTCTGTTCTATTCTATTCTATTCTATTCTATTCTATTCTATTCTATTCAACAAAATTGGGGCATTTGGCAACCAGCATGTATTTTCAATGTCTCAGGGTCATTTGCAATCTTCCCACTTGCTTCCGACAAGTGAAGTCAATGAGGTAAACCAGATTCACTTAATGACCACCTGAATCAGTTAAGAATTGCAGTGATTAGCTTAACATATATGACAAAAATGGTGGTAAAATTGGGTGTGTGACTCACTTATCAACAACTTTGATTAGCAACGGAAATTCTGGTCCGAATTGTGGTCATAAGTTGAGGATTACCTGCACTGGCATGGCTTTGGGACATCTCAGCTTGGCTTCTGTCACCAATCATCTGTTCAGTGATGTGCTTGATGCTGTCAGACTTTGCCAGTGAGATTTTAAACGACATTCCTTATTAGCTATTTTCCCTTCATTTTTTTTTTCCCGCCTCCAAAACTGGTAAGAGAAATGGGTCTGTTGTCAAAGGATTCCTCTTCTTGTAACACAGCTACTTGGATGGGCCTAATTAGATGGAGTCTTTCAAGAAGAGACTGGACTGCCATCTGTCAGAAGTGGTGTGGGCAGGGGGTTGGACTAGATGTCCTACAAGGTCCCTTCCAACTCTTAGATCTGTTAGATCTAACTTCTTAAAGATGATTGACCAGGTTTACTGACCCTCCTTTTCGGAGTACTTCCTACTGAGCCATTTAAGAGTCTTGGGCTAACTAAGGATACACGTAGTTCTCAACCTAGACCACAGTGGAGCCCAAAATTGCTAAGCAAGACAGTTTCGCCCCATTCTATGACCTTCCCCCCCCTACAGTTGTTAAATGAATCACTGCAGTTGTTAAGTGAATTATGCAGCTGTTAAATGAATCAGGCTTCCCCCATTGACTTTGCTTGTCAGGAGCCAGCTGGAAAGGTTGGTGATCAGGGGTGGGCTGCTGGAGGTTCACAGGGGTTCGGGAGATCCCGCCAGCTAAGATTCTGTGCAGTTCAGAGAATCTCCAAATCTCACTCCTGGCTGGCCCCGCCCATCCCTCCCCTCCCACAATTCCCCACGCAGCCTGTTTTGGATGCAGTTAAGTGCAGGGTGCACACGGAGGCTCAGGGAGGGCAAAAATGGGCCTCCCGGAAGTTCTGGAAGGCCAGAAATGGGCCCGTTTCCAGCTTCCAGAGAGCCTCGGGAGCCCGGGGAGCCTGTTTTCACCCTCCTGGAGGCTCAAGGAAAGCCTCCGGAGTGCGGGGAGGGCAAAAACGCCCCCCCCCCCCACCGTGGTGCAGGAGGCCGACTAGGCCACGCCCACCAAGCAACCGGGCAGAGAACTCTTTGCTAAAATTTTTGAAGCCCACCCCTGTTGGTGATCATGTGACCGTGGGACAGTGCAGCTGTCATAAACACATGCCAGTTGTCAAGCACCTGGATTTTGATCATGTGACCGTGGGAAAGTACAAGGGCCGTTAGTGTGAAAGTCAGTCATAAGAGACTTTTTTCAGTGCCGTTGTAACTTTGACAGATTGAATGGCTGTAAGTCGAGGATTATTCTGTACTCCCGCTTTTCCTCCTCACTTGTACAGGTCGTCCTCAACTTACAACTATAATTGAACCCCAAATTTCCATTGCTACGCGAAACAGTTGTTAAGTGAGTTTTGCCCCATTTTATGACCTTTTCTGGTCATGGACGTTGAGTGAATCACTGCAGTTGCCAAGTTAGTAACACAGTTGTTCAATGAATCTGGCTTCCCCATTGACTTTGCTTGTCAGAAAAGGGGATCACATGACCCCAGGACACTGCAACCATCATAAATACGAGTCAGTTGCCAAGCGTCTCAATTTTGATCATGTGGCCATGGGGATGCTGCAGCCATGGGGTTATAAAATGTGATGAATGGTCATAAGTCACTTTTTTTTCAAAGTCTAATTTGTTGTAATTTTGAACGGTCACTAAGCGAACTGTTGTAAGTCAAGAACGACCTGTACATTTATCTGAAAATATCATGTCAGAGTTAAGAGGCTGAGTTATCTCTTCCCACTACCGAGGCCACATTTTCCAGACCTGATCATCTGAATTCTATTTATTCTCACCAAAAGTCAACCGTTTAAGTGGCGCTTTTCAATTTCATGGGCCCAAGTGAGAAGGAAGGAATCAGTTCAACCGTGCTAATTTCATTTTGTAATTTAATAGATCCAAGATGAGAAGCCAGCCTCCTTCTCCGTCTTTGACCTGGTCTCCAGTTTCTGCAATGATATTGTCAGCTCTGCTCAGAGTTTTATTTCTTCCACATGGACCTTCTATCTGCAGGCAGATGATGGAAAAGTAGTCGTGTTTCAGGTAAGTTGTGGCAAAAGTGGGGGGGAGGAGATTTAGGAAAGGAATAGTATAGAACCGTGATGGCGAACGTATGACACGCGTGCCACAGTTGGTACGCAGAGTCTTTTGTGCGAGCCACATGCAAATTTACCTCACTGCACATGTGTGCGCCTCACAACTGATTTTCGTCTGGTTTGAGGCCTTTTTGGCCTCCCAGAGGCTTGAAAAAAGCCTCTGCAGGCTTTGCAGGCCAAATAATAGGCCCGTTTTGACACTTCCTATAATACTGGATAAGCGCATCAATGTGCCCACCGTCCCTGTCCTATTGTTTCTTTTATTTTTCTTATATGTATCCATGTATTCATAACTATGTTTTTACTTATATCTATTATCTTGTAAGCAATTGACAAACCAAATAAAATAAATAAGTAAAATAAATAAATAAATACATTTTGTTACTAATTTAACCTGCATTATTTAGCACAGAATGAGTGGTGCGGTGGCCTAGAGGTGACACTCTTGCCTCACAATCAGGAGGCTGTGAGTTCGATCCTAGGTAGAGGCAAATATTTTTCTCTCTGGGCACAATGAGAATTTATCTGCTGAACAAAACTCCACATTGGCGACAGGGAGGGCATCCGGCCAGTAAACATTCAGATCCATTCAGTTGCCCAGACTCCATCCCACAAGGGATTATGGGGTCATTAAAATAAGTTGATGATTTAGCACACAATGTTGAACCATAAGCTAATTAACTGAATGATCTTGATTTGTGCAACACGTTAAACAAAGAAAACAAAAATAACCTAACTCAGGATTAATATCAACCAAACTGAATTTGTTGTACAGGTGCAGATGTTGACACATTGCTAAACCTAACCTATTCAGATCTCTGGCAAGAGTGATTTCCCTCTAATTAAAATTTTATTTCATAGCACTTACAACTAATACAACTAATAGAACCATATTTATGTAAAAATAAAAGCTACATGATTATGTGGATCCTTCCTTCCTTCCTTCCTTCCTTCCTTCCTTCCTTCCTTCCTTCCTTCCTTCCTTCCTTCCTCCCTCCCTCCCTCCCTCCCTCCCTCCCTCCCTCCCTCCCTCCCTCCCTATAGAATTGTGAGGACTCATGGAATAAGTTTACATGTGTCTCTTTGGGCATTTTTTTTTCTATCTTTCCAGTCTAGCCTAGACCCCTGAGATTTCTTAGTGGTCTCTTATCCAGTACAAACCAGGTCCAACCCAGTATAGTCCTTAAAATCATCCAACATTGGTTAGGTGCTGCCACCTGCTGTGACCAAAGCAGATTAAAATCAAAATGATTCATTAATTTAAAAGCCTTCTTTGAGCTGAACATTTCCATAAAAAATGGGACATAAAAATGGCAGATAATACGGGTGGATAATATTTTGCTGAGTTATCCAACGTGGAATTGTCAGCAAGTTAGCCACAACAAGATGGTTGTGGCGAGTTGAACTGAGCTCCACTGACCTTCTGTTTATGGGCCAAAGAGTGGAAAAACTGAAGTCCACTTTTCTCCTGTGGGGATGGAGCTGTGAGATTTCAAGGCAGAGTGAGTACCTTTAGACTTGCAGATGGTGAGGATACGGGTAGTCCTCAAGTTAGGACCATAATGGAGCCTGCAATCAGAGCCATACCTTGTGATGCCCATAAAATGAATGGGTTGGTCATGTGACTGACACAATTTTAAGGTCTTTTTGTGATGATCATTAAGCAAACCGATGGTTCACTATAGAGGTGGTTTTGCTGAAAACTGAAAGTGAATGCCAGTTTCTGGCAAAAACTATCGTAGAACGTGATCGTGTGAATGTGGGAGTCTGCAAACAGCCATAAATGTGGTCAGATTCCTAAAGGGCAGCCATATGATTGTGGGGTGGCCCGACTGTCAAAACTTCAAATCCAGGTCATACATACACCAGGTGGGTCCTTTAGAATTTGGTTGCTAAGCCACTGGTCATTTCCCGCCTTTGGAGTGCAACCTGCGGGATGCCAAACTTAACCCATCCTTTGAGACAAATGTAGCTGTCCACTTCAGGTTTAAGCTTCCAGAAGACGTGGTCCTTAAAGCTGCAGGAACATGTGATCTGGTACGTGGTTTATATGATATGTTTGCCTGGGACCCCCTCACCAGTTCTCCTTCAACAAGGTGCAGCAGATGCGGAAGATCTTCCTGAATGCTTGAGAGCCTTTCTATCTTTCTTTGACAGTCGCAACCAGAAGTGGAGTATCCAATTCCTGAGGCCCAGGCACCCAAATCAGAGGTTTCGGAGAAGACCTGGACAGTCTCGGCCCCCAACACCTTGAAGCCACACACAGGTAATATGAGGACTCAGGATACAGATTAGATACAGATTAACAGAGAAGGGACCTTGTACGTCATCTACTCCAACCCACTGCCCAAGCAGACCCTACACTATTTTTGACAGATGCAGTCCAATCTCTTCTTGAAAGCTTCCAGTGACGAAGCTCCCACAACTTCTGAAAGCAAGCTGTTCCATTGGTTGATTGCTCTCACTGTCAGAAAGTTTCTCCTTATTTCTATGTTGAATCTCTCTTTGTTCAATTTCCATCCATTATTCCTTGTCTGGCCTTTAGGTGCTTTGGAAAACAGCTTGACCCACTCCTCTCTGTGGCAGCCCTTCAAATATTGAAACATTGCTATCATGTCACCCCCTAGTCCAAGGGTCTTCAAACTTGGCAAGTTTAAGACTTGTGGACTTCAACTCCCAGAATTCCTAAGCTAACATGACTGGAGGAAGAATTCTGGGAATTGAAGTCCTCAAGTTTTAAAGGTGTCCAGTTTGAAGACCTCTGTCCTACTCCTTCTCTTCATTAGACTAAACATTCCCAGTTCCTGCAACCGTTAATCAAATTGCCTCCAGTCCCCTCATCATCCTGGTTGCTCTTCTCTGTACTTTTTCTAGAGTCTCAACATCTTTTTTATAGTGTGGTGACCAAAACTGGATGCAGTACTCTAAGTGTGGTCTTACTAAGGCTTTATAGAGTGGTATTAGTACCTCATTTGACCTTGACTGTATCCCTGGCAGATTTAAACTGTGACATGTGCCACCACCAAAGATGATGGAGATACCAATTTAAACTCTTTTTAAAAGCCGACTGCAAAATCAGTGGGTTCACAGTGATTTCTATGACTCTTGGTGGTTATCGACTCTCTCTAAAGCAGCATTTCTCAACTATGGCACCTTTAAGATGTATAGACTGATTTTAACATTTTTATTTTAACTAAGATGTAACTGTAAGCTGCCCAGAATTACCCTATGGTAAGATAGCAATAGCACTTAGACTTATACACCGCTTCACAGTGCTTTACAGCCCTCTCTAAGTGGTTTACAGAGTCAGCCTATTGCCCCCAACAATCTGGACCCTCATTTTACCTACCTCGGAAGCAAAGGTGGTATTCAGCAGGTTCTGACCAGTTCTGGAGAACCAGTAGCGGAAATTTTGAGTCGTTCAGAGAACCGGCAAATACCACCTCTGACTGGCCCCGTCCCCATCTATTCTCTGCCTCTTGAGTCCCAGCTGATTGGCTGGGTCTTCTTTGGTTGCCCTGCACAGGAGAATGGAGCTGGAAAGCAGGTTAGTGGGGTGGGGAGGGAATGGGGATTTTGCAGTATCCTTCCCCTGCCACGTCCACCAAACCACACCTACCAAGTCACGCCCACAGAACCAGTAATAAAAAAAAAATTGAACCCCACCACTGCTCGGAAGGATGGAAAACTGAGTCAACCTTGAGCCTGGTGAGATTTGAACTGCCAAACTGCTGGCAGCCGGCGGTCAGCAGAATTAGCCTGCAGTCCTGCACTCTAACCACTGTGCCACCGTGGCACTTAAGATGCCAATAAATAAAACAAAAGAATAAAGAATAAAATATTAAATAAAATAATAAAGAAATAAAATGAGATAAATTAAAAAATAAAACTAAAATAAAATAAAGCTAGCCATGGTGGCGCAGTGGTTAGAAAGTGGTATTGCAGACTGCCACTGCCAGCAGGTCTATAGTTTGAGTCTCACTGGCTCAAGGCTGACTCAACCTTCCATCCTTCTGAGGTGGGTAAAATGAGGAGCCAGATTGTTGGGGGCGATAGGCTGGCTCTTTAACCCGCTTAGAGAGGGCTGTAAAGCATTCTGAAGCGGTATATAACTCTTTAAGTGTTATTGCTATTGCTAAATAAATAAACTTGCTGGTGCTTGGCCTGAGCTCTTTGTAACCCACTTGTCTTGTTTCCTTTTTATTCTCGTTTCTTATTCCTTTTCTTTTCAGGCCTTCAAGAGAAATTGGAGAAACCTCCCATCGAAGAGCCCAAGAGCCCAGCCCCAGCCGCAGCTCAGCCTGTGGGGGAGTCCCAGATGCCTCTGGAGCATGATTTCCTGGGATGCATGTCCAAGTAATATACCGCTCTGTTTTTTGTTTTTTTTTAATCATGTGGTTTAGAAATTAGGAAGAGAGGGAAACTGAGAAAGTTGGGGAATTAAATTGTTATTTGGATTGGATCAGATGCAAGACAAATTGTGGGTGAAGCTGATCCTGGTGGCAGGGTAATCCAAACATCTGCATTTGGCTTGAGGAAAATGTAAAAAATTCCCTTCTTTTTATCCTTTGTTTCCCCCCCCCCCCCCCACATTAAGTTCATACGGGTAGTCTTTGACTTACAAATATTCATTTAGTGATCGTTTTTTCATTATGTGACCATAGCTGCGTCACATAAGTGTAAAAAGCGGTCATAAGTCACTTTTTTCCAGTGCCATTGTAACTTTGAATGGTCACTGAATGAATGGTTGTAAGTCAAGGACTACCTGTACTATAACTTTAAAATAAAAGCAATGTTGGCCCGCAGGTCTTTGGTTTTCTAGCTTAGTCTATATTGGAGGACTGACACAAAGTAATTTCTTTCTTTGGGGGTATTTTTTAACTTTTTTCATTTATTTGTTCTCTTTATTTTTATTGTTTCTTTATTGGTTGTAATTTAGTTCATCTTTTGTATTGTTGAGAAATATTATCTTTTAAAAAATTAAAAACTCAAGTCGATAGCTCTGACGGTATGACGGAAGCTCCATCTGTATTTTTTAATATGTATCAGTGGATTAAAAAACAGGCAGAGCTTCGATTCCATTGTTGCTGTCACCGTCTTCACTTTCTGATCTTCCCCTTCAGATACCCCTGGTCATATCCCCAATTAAACAATAAGAGCTCTGTGAAATGTTAGACAATAAAGAATGAAACATTGGCAGAAGTACAAATTAAAAAAAAACAACCATTAATCAGCACTCAGAAATAGGGCAAAAATCTTCATCCATGTGTAGATGTATTAAATTTGTATTGGCCTTCATAACTTCATAAATATATCAAGGCAGTGAATATTTCTAATACACCTTCCTCCTATTTTCCCCACAACAACAACCCTGTGAAGAGGGTTTGACTGAGAGAGTGATTGGCCCAAAATCACCCAGCCAGCATTTGTGCATAAGGCAGGACTAGAATTCACTGTTTCCTGGTTTGTAGGCCAACATTTTAATTACTAGCAAAACTGATTGTACACATGTATATGTTGTGACTACGGGAGTTTTTGAAACTGTTTGCTTTAAATCTCAGAGTTCTTATCTTGCTCCCGGACCTTCAGCATTAATTAGGAAAACATACCAGAGCTGTGGGATGTTTCAGTCAGGGTTTATTCAGGAAGCTGACACACCCCCAGGACATATAAGGAAGTGTGTCAGCCCACAAGCTTTGTCCGGGTCAAACTGTTACAAACTGTTATCACTGTGAATCTGTTATGACCGTCATACTTGTCGTCTTAACATTCTGTTAAACTGTGAGTTTTTGGAAGAGACGTTATTGCTGGTGTAGAAGATAACTTCAAAGGTATTTTGCTATCTGGTCTGGCCGACAGTTTCTGGGAGAACTGCCAACGACAATTTACTGCCGGTGTGAATTTGGCTCTTCAGTCCCTGTGTTTTTCCAGCTTGTTTACTGTGGCATTCTAGTCTCTCACTTTGTGGCCTGGGATGGGACAGAACATGTATATATGGATACTTTGAAGCCCCCTCCCCGTCTGTCCATGGTAATTTTGTGGCCTCTCTTTGGCGGGTGTGGGGGCTGCTTTTGGGTGTTATAGGCGTTCGGGGCTGCCCCGCTGGATTCTGGCTGCTTGTCTCTTCCTTTCCATCATGGTGATGCTCTGGCTGAGTTGCGCCAGTTTGGTGACTGCACCGGATCAACACGTCAAGACTCAGGTAAGGAGAAATTAGTAGCAGGTGGGTCCTTTCTGTAGCTGTGTTCATCGCTGTATAAGACTTTTTTCAGGACTCTTGAGGAATTTGGATTGCATGAACTCTAAATTTGGGGTTCTGGAGACCAGGAAGTCGAGTAGGAAGGATGCTTTAGACCCTGACTTTTTCCAAAAATCATTTTTCAATCTCTCAATACCCGAAGAGTCACTATTGTTTTCTTTGGCAACAGGTTAATTTGTCAGTCCCTTTGGGTATTAACGCGTTCAGTGCATTTAGAAGGAATTAGTTATCTTTTATTATCAATTTTGTGCCTGGATGGGGAAAGAGAATAGAAAGAAAATCAGAATACACATTTTTTTTGTTGCACAGTGCATATAAAAATTACATTTGCACCATTCTGTAGTCTGTTAATTTGTGTCTTTTTTAAAAAAGCCAATGTACCTTATGAATGAAAGTACATACCTTAATTAAAAATACTTCAGTGCTGAAAATAGTATTCGTCATTTGAGCCTTCAGTGCAATAAAGCAAAGCACAATAAAATGAGATGTGCCTGTATTTATTTATTGATTTACTTACTTATGTTGGAATCCATTCCCAGATGTAGGGAATTCTGGGAAGCTTAAATAGAATGCAGCCGGGAGGTACCATATTGGGGAATATTGCTGTAGTCACTCCCCATCACAAAATTACAGGTAGGTCCTCAACTTATGACAATAATTGGGACCAAAATTTCTGTTCCTGAGTAAGACGATTGTTAATTGAGTTGCACCCAATATTATCTTTTTGCCATGATTGTTAAGGAAATCACTGCAATTGTTAAGTGAATCATGCAGTGAATCTGGCTTCCCACACTGACTTTGTTGTGAGAAGGTGATCACATCAACTGTTGTAAACACATGCTGGTGGCCAAGTGCCTGAATTTTGATCAAGTGACTTCGGGGACGGTCATAAGTGCAAGGACCAGTAGTAAGATTTTTTTTTTTTCAGTGCCTGTATGGCGTTGGAAGGCATTGCAAGAGAGTCCTCTAGTCCAGTGATCCCCAACCTTTTTTATGCCGCGGCCCGGTACCGGCATCAGCTGGGCGCCGCCATCTTTTTTTGATGAAAACGTGCTTCCGGTGAGCTTTCTACCTGGAAAAGCTCACCGGAAGCACTTTTTCATCAAAAAAAGATGGCGGCGCCCAGCAAGCCAGCGGCCCGGTAGGACTTGTTCCGCGGACCGGTGGTTGGGGACCCCTGCTCTAGTCCATCTGTCTGCAATGTGCTGGAAAATCAATTAAAATCAGGGGTATCCAACTTTGGCAACTTTAAGAGCTGTAGACTTCAAACTCCCAGAAATCCGCAGCCAGCCATGCCACGCTGGCTAGGAAACTCTGGCAGTTGGAAGAATAGAATAGAATAGAATAGAATAGAATAGAATAGAATAGAATAGAATAGAATAGAATAGAATAGAATA